AAAAATCATCCTCTTTGTGAACAATCTAGAGCCCCAAGAAATAATGTAATGATCCCAAAACCTCAATATCAAATTCCTTTGTGAGAGCAGTAATAACATCAATGATAGCAGCAGTAGCACTTCGAGTTAATAATGCCATTTACAGAAGAGAAAGAAAACCATGATAGACTTGCAAACAATATTTATAAATAAGGATGAATCAGCAGGAGTAGTTTGAAATATACCCAAAGAGGGATAAAAACCTTGTAAATCTCTCATTCCATGTTCTGGGAGCCTGTTTTAAACTATATAAAGACTTATGAAGTCTATAAACATAATCAAGATGTTGAGCATCTACAAATCCAAGTGCTTGGGCCATATAAACCACCATGCAAAAATGCATTTTTAACATCTAACTATCTTAAAGATCAACAACAAAGTGCAGCTAAAGAAATAACCAATCTCACAATGGTTGGTTTGATATCCGGACGAAAGGTTTAACCATAATCAATCCCTTCTTCTTGATTAAACTCTTTATCAACTAACCTAGCCTTATATTTTCCAATGGTACCATATGCATTCTTTTTTATCTTAAAGATCCACTTACAACCAACTAAGTTTTTTTTTTTTGTGAGAAAAGGGAACCAAAGACCAAGTTCCTTGAGAATATAAATCTAACAATTCTTCTTGCATAACAGTATCCCAAACTAGAGATTCCAAAGCTGACTTATAGGTTGTAGGTTCAACCTTAGTGAGATCAACACCCAATTCTCATGTATAATAGATTATAATACAATTTTCTTTGAAGTCCACTTTTGGACTTTGTTTCCATATGATGCAAATTAAGAGGAGGAATAGATAGTAAAACATGTAAACTCTTAAGATGAAATTCCGATACCACAAGGATATGAGAGGAGGAGGATTGAACTGTATACGTGGTAAAGGGTTGGCCTTCTATTACATTATTATGATTAGATGTAGTAGATGGCATAGGCATAAACACAGGACTAGATAATAGGTTTATGAGGCATAGATCGAATAAATGCAGAAGTAATTGAAGTGATTTTATTGGACTGAGGGACAGAAAGAACATTATTATGATTGGGACTGGTAGCAATGATTGAACAAAGAGGTAGCATGAGTGGCATTATGAGACACTTGATTGACTAAAGTAAGGTATGAAAACTCAGACTTGGCAAAGAGTACATGCCTAGATATGTATACTTTCTATTTTGACACCTTATAACAAATATAACCTTTAAACTTTAAAGTATATCTTAGAAATACACATTTGTGGTTCTATGTTGCAATTTGGTACTATTGTATGGCCTCAGTAATGAAAAGCATGAACACCCACATATTCTAAGGTGATTAATCTCATGAACAAATTTAAACAATACCTCAAATAGAGATTTATGATCCAAGGTAAAAGTAGACATTCTATAGATAAGACAAGAAGATGCTTAGCAAGCAAAGAACCAAAAAGAAGAAGGCAATGATACTGTTTGTAAAAGTGTAATAGTCATTTTAATAATGTGTTTGTACTTTCTTTCAGCTAGTCAAGTTTGTTCTGGTGTATGGAGACATGACATACGATGGCTAATTCTCTTATCCAATAGAAAAGATTTGAAAGATTTCCCATATACTCACCCCCTCCATGTTAGATCCCACATCGTCCAGAGGAGAGGATCCTCTATGCCTTATATGTACATGCCCACCTCCATATAGCACGAGACCTTTTGGAAGCTCACTGGCTTCAGAGTTCATCGAAACTCCGAAGTTAAGCAAGTTCGCGCGAGAGCAATCCCAAGATGGGTGATCTACTGGGAAGTTCTCGTGTGAGTTCCCAGAAACAAAACGTGAGGGCGTGGTTGGGGCTCAAAGCGGACAATATCGTAATACGACGGAGTCGAGCCTGGGATGTGGTGGAGCCCGGGATGTGGTGGAGCCCGAGTCGAGATGTGACAATTTGGTATCAGAGCCAATCCCTGGCTGGAAGTGTGCCTACAAGGATGTCCAGCCCTTGAGGGCAGTAGATTGTTAGATCCCACATCGCCTAGGGGAGAGGATCTTCTATGCCTTATACGTACATGTCCACCTCCATATAGCACGAGACCTTTTGGGAGCTCATTGGCTTCGGAGTTCATCAGAACTCTGAAGTTAAGCGAGTTTGCGCAAAAACAATCCTAGGATGGGTGACCCACTGGGAAGTTCTCGTGTGAGTTCCCAGAAACAAAATCGTGAGGGCATGGTCGGGGCCTAAAGCGGACAATATCGTGCTACGGCGGAGTCGAGCCCAAGATGTGGTGGAGCCCAGGTCGGGATGTGACACTCCATCAATTTGTAAAATCTTAATTGTAACATTAAACTCATTCAAAATGAATTTGTAAAATGAGAGAAAAAGTGGTAAAAATATCACTTTTATTGTATAATGGAAAAATCCAACTATGTCTAGTACACTCATCAATGAAGATTACATCGTGCTTAAATTCTGTAATTGAAATACAAGGAGTTAAGCCTCACACATCACTATAAACAACCTCAAATGCATATACAGATTTAGACACATCAGTATTGAAAGGAAGTTTGGTACACTTGCCTTCTAGAATCTATGACACAACATAGGTATATTTTCAGAAACATGAGACAGATTGGACTTTATTAATATTTGAGAGACAATGAGATTAGAAGGATGACCTAGACTGCTATGCCAAATAATTGATGTAACTTGTTGTCCAAGATAGGCAGCACCAATCATTATCTTCCTCCTTGAACCAAAATGAGTTGATGAAGTTATAGGGTACAATCCATTGGTACATAGTCATTTGAATAGAATCCTCTATGTGGTTTTGTCCTAAATCCAAAAGAAAAAAGTATCAAAAGATTAACAAACAGTTATTATCAAGACAACTTTTAGGAACTGGGAGGAAATTCGGAGTCAATTTTGGTACACATAGTACTGAATTTAATTTCAAAGGCTACAATGAAGTATTAATAATGCAGGAACCAACAAGTGATACTGATAAACTTTGACCATTGGCTTACTGAATAGTATCATTTGATGGATATGGAGTGACAAGAGACAAGTTGTTTACATCAGCAGTCATATGTTATGGCTCCTGAATCAGTGATCCACACTTGCTGAGATTAATTAGATGGTATTTGTGGAGGTGCAGAATGCAAATAATGATCAACATGCATTGTAGTCATTGGAGATGAGGTATTTTGATAGTAGAAAGCTACACTCTAATGAAGATTCCCATAAATATGACAACCTGGAGGAACTGCATTATTTCTGAATCTACAAGTGTCAGCAAAATGATTTTTTTTCCTTCAGATTTGACAGTCTTAAGTATTCCTGAATTTACAGGTATCAACTATATGGTTATTCTTACCACAAATTTGACTAGTCTGTCGTTGAGGAATATAACCTTGTTGCTTTGGTGGAGAAACATCAAGAAATTCCAAGTGCTGAAAACCTATAATCTCCTGTATTTACATTCAATATCTTTCCCCTTGTTGTTGTTATTAAAGGACTTATAACCACTAGTTTTAGAATTAGAATGATTATTATGAGAATTATAAGAACTTCCAGTTTTAGAATTAAACCCATTTGTATTGGCTACTAAAGTAGTAAGCATTGGAGTACCAGAAACATTATCAATCATAGCCTCTTCAGCAGAAATCAGGATCAAAGATACTTCAAAGAAATTATAATTTCATGTCCTCTAATAATATACCTAATTGTATTATATTCAGCAGGCAATCCATTCAAGGGAAACTAATCATATCAAAGATGTAATTGGAGATTGCAAGATCTGTAATTGAGATGCTGTCACCATTGTAACAGATACGAATCGAAATTCCCAAATAGAATAATTGAGGAATTTTATAAAACACCTTGCATGCTTAATATGACACACGAAGAATCGCTTAAATATGAAAGAAAGAAACCCTAGAATCGAAGATTGAGATTATAGAATATCAAGAAATGATGAGGAAAAGAGTAGCAAGGAAGCGGAAGCAAGAATCTAAGATCAATATCCGTCAAGCATATAACTTTTTCGGTGAAGATACCATGAAGAAGGTTGAGGTTCCATGACAAAACCTATTGGGAGTAGCTAAAACTCTTATAAGCCATCAAGGTTTCTTATTTCACCGACATAAACTCTTTTACTTTCACATCCTTACACGTCCTCTCACACGTGTCAAATTTTCAAGTCAAACATGTAGACAACACTAATTGGATGATGTGGAGCATGTGTGGTTGTTAAGCTTCACATGTGGTGCCAATATGTTTTGGTACCATGTAAACCATGATGAGGTGGACCTTAGAGAGCAAGATTATCAGAGAGAGAGAGAGATTTCTTAGAGAAGAAGAAAGAAAACTGTATTTCATTTACAAAGAATAATTTGTGCACTATACACAAAATTAGTATATATCCTAAGTAACTATGACAGCTTATAAACTAAGCTATCCTACAACAGTTTGCAACTGCCTATCTAATCAATTTACACTTGTCAATATCACAACCATTGAACCTGTACTCCTAATAGTTTTCAGGTTGTCTCTATTAATCTGACAACTGCATGCTGGTTTACTCATCGCTACTAATTTATGGTATTCCGTTCAAAACAAATACATAGATGCCCACAGCGAAACCAACTGTTGGTGATGGAAAAGTTGGATTGCCTTGCCTGTATTTCCTTTCCTCTCAGCCTTGCAATGAAGGAAAAAGTCGTGTATTTCGTTGGAAAATTTGAATAGTGATCCAACTGTAAAAGCATAATTTACAAATTGAATTAAACGGAAAAAATGACTAAAATGAAATTTCAGCGAGTTAATTTTTTTGCTTACCACCCCATTTCGTTGATTGGTGTACCATTATTATATGAAGTTGTCCAAGATGAAAACTAAAACTACAATCCAAATTTTATTGTCTCTAATTCTATTTTTTTGAGTCTGAAATTCAACTTCTTGTCCGTATTCAATAAATTATATACATGAAGAATATCCGACAAATAAAACAACAATAATTAACCTTTAAGTGACAATAGATTACAAAGGAAGTTTACACAAAAGCCCTCCACAAAAAATAAAAACAAAACCTGCAGCTAGGTTTTCATATATAGCACGAGGGTAATCGAACGTGGTTAACGGGTCAACCACGAAAAAATCACAAAGGAAAAACCCTCCTGCAAAATAAAGCCTTGCTAGCAGCTTGAGTACAATGGCTGGTGTTTCCTCCAAAGGTCTTAAAAGCCAGAAAAAACCACCAAAAAAAGGGGAAAAAAAAAAAAAAGACATGCGTAATGCGAACTTCAGAACTTCATGTTTCTGGTCCCACCAACTTGAGCAAAGCCTGTCTTAGATTTTTTACAAGATCTTTCACTGTCATGCTGAATTCTACATCCATCTGTAATTAAGAATTGGAGTCTTATTAGTTAAGGGTAAAAACACTGTTAAGTTTATGCACTGAATTAACCTAACCAAATTTATGTACCTGAGCAACTACAGTGATATCAAGAGTTGAATTGCCAAGGGGCAAGGCACAGCTGTGAACAATGGTGAGATCAAGCTTTTCTATCTCACTCAGTATGCTTGCCAAACATCCTTTGGTTTTCTCACTGTGGATTCGTATGAGGACCTCTTTGTCCGAAACTCTTGCTTCGATTTCTGGTAGTGGCTGGTTAGAGCAGCTCTCAGAGTTCTCGTCGGATGAGGATATATCATCATCCGCTGAGTACTGAGTCCTCTTCACAAACACCACTGCTTCCACAGTTTTCTTGGCTGCTTGTTTCTCCAGCATTTTCGTAAGTTCTTGAAGATGTTTCACGTACTTGATCGCATCTCCGAGGACCGAAGCCTTGTCCGTCTGCAATTTTGTGTAAAGGGGTAGTTTAGAATCTTTGACGGAAGCTACTATAACCAAATTAAACTAGAAGTATTTTCTTATCAGACAACTCGACTACCAGAATCAATCTGAGTCATTGATTAGACAAATCTTACATAAAATTTAGATCATTAACTATTTAAAACATGACATACTGTACGAAAAGAGGTTATATTAGATCATAACAACTTTACAACATAACGTACTGTCTAACTGAGAACACATTAATTAGGGGTAAAAAATGAAAAAGTTTAACTAATTAGTACCTTCTTCAGGCCTGGAAGTAAGGCAGATAGAGCAATGAACCGCTGGCTGAGATTTTCTCGGCGCTTTCTCTCAGCAAGAACATGATCTTGAGCATCTAAAGGACTTCTAGTCACCGTAGCGGCCCTCTTGATCCCTTGTCCATGTTTCGGTGAGCAAGTTTGGGGGTCATAGATACCTTGGGAAATCAAAGCTGGAGGGTTCAATTTCCCATTGGAATATTCCACTTCATTCTTTGGCTTGATAACTCTGCAATCTAGACCATAGTACTGCTGAGAAGTGGTTGGGGGTGATGAGTTGGAGTTTTCAAAAGAAATTAGGTATGAAGAGGAGGAAGAAGAAGCATTGGCAGTAATTATGTGGTCAGTGGAGCAAGAGTTCCAACTACTAGTGTTGTTCTTAGGCTGTTTTGCTGGCCTTTCATGATTCCCGGACATCTGATGAAGATTTTCGATGGATGCTTTGCTGAAGTTGTCGGCTTTTGGGGTGAAATTTGGATAGGATGAGTAGCTCTCAGATGAGAAAGATTGGAAATTGAGCTCATCAAGTGAGTAGTCCAGGGCGCTCATTTCGTATTGATTGATGAAAGTAGGATCTTCCATTTCCTACATATAAATTAATCAAAACATTAACAGAGAACCAAAAATTTGAACAACTTTTTAAGATTAACTTTGGACTCTTTTGTATCAATTCTTTTATTTTTTTTCATTTTCTTTGTTGATTTCTTCATGTTTAGGGTACGGAAGGGTATATATAATAAATTGTATAATTAAAAAAAAAAAAGCGAAACTTACGAAATCAGATACCCATTTTGCTGATGAGATCATGTCCATTAATGCACCTGGTTTCTTCACTTGGGAGTGAACCGAAATTTAGCTGCACCGTTGGATTCAACTAAAATAAATAGTAAATCTTAGTTATATATGAAGGCATGAATAGAACTTGAACAAAGAACAAAGATTTCATGGAAGGCTGATATGTAGACTATAAATGATCATAAAGAAGCCCAGAAATTAAGCGTAGCAACCCCAAGAAAACTCCTTGGAAATTGGACAAAAAGAAACAGTAGCACTGAAAGTTGAAACACCTCACCTTAAGATTAGCGAAGACTATGCAAGTTTTTGTTTCTCCAGTTCTCCAGGAACGACGAGTCTGCAATCTTTTATAGGCGTACGAACGCGCTCTACATCGAGATGTTGACTAAAAAGCAAGCAAATTAAGAAAATTGAACGTACCGATCCAATAAGATACTATAAATGTTAGTGGCACGTGTGAAAATGTTTCCCGCATTCTGATGAGTGAACACTATTCATTTGGAGGCTTTTTCCTCCGGGTCAATTTATGACTCTTTTCTTGTTTTGACCTACAAATATTGCCACATCGGCAATTATATTGGCCGATTCATTGGGTGAACTGATTTTCGATCGGATCGCATTAGAAATATACGTGGATTGCAAATTTCATATACCGTTGGTTAGAAGAAATTTCACTTACAAGAAAACAAACACTGTTAGTTTAATTAACGAAAACCCTAAGAAAAGGAGAAGGGATCCACCAAAGGGCATCTGATGCCTAAGTCAAAAAAGATAGAGAGAAAAATAGAACTTGAGAGAGTTTTGAATAGTAATTGATGATTATTGTTTTCTCTGTTTGACATGGCTATTTATACTGAAAAACTCTAACATGCAAGTTGGAGTTGAGGCTAGAGAGAATACTAAACTGTCCTTGATGATGCAGGCTAGTTTTTGTAGTCTTACTAGCTAGTAGTTCTAATAGTCCATATTGATAAGAGCGCAAATGCACTAAACACTCAAGGGGAGACTCAGAAGAATCAGTGGCCTACCACCATTGGACTGTGTGCATGGCTTAATAGCAGGATATATTATGGGCCGCATAGAGAGCCCATGGTTTGTAAGTGGTATAAAACCTCGTCAAGGGTAATTTTATGCTCTACTCACGATGTCAAGGGTATAACCGTCATATTGAGTATATTGTTCACGCATTTTTTTTCCTAAACCCTTGAACATCCAGTAGCTCTTATGTTATACAAGCCAACACAAATTCTTCTTAAAAGTCATCAGAATGATGTCGTGAGAATCAAAATTTTTTTTTACGAAAATAACGATGAGCCATAGTTGTAGAATAATTATTATATGAGTGATCAATATATTAATATCATACTCACTTTTTTCACCCTACTGTGGAAGCCCCTAGCTAGTGTTATTAGATACGTTAAATCAAACTGGCTAGCCATAATAGCTTTTCAAAATCAAACTCTAGCAAAATTAACAAAAATATGGCTAATCTCTTGTAGATACTCTTAAGGTTTTAGATTCGAGTTTCACCAACCACAAGTTTAAGGTTTCCAAATTTGAGTAGGATCCAAAATAGTTTAGATGGAAAAATTATGATCCCATGTCGTAACTTATATCTTTTTTTATTTTTTTTTATTTTTATTTTTAAACAAAGGATATTATCTACACTAAGGGGGAGGGTATGAGTTTCTCCTCACAAGTATCTAGCAATAATGTTGTTCAGATACACATTTGGCGAGAATCAAACCTAAGACTTCTCACTTACAAGTAAAGAAGAATACTATTAGACCGTGTTAACGTGAGTCAATGCTATATTTCAGGAATTATAGATGTATTGTTCGGGTTGTAATCATGTGATTGATATCCTGTATAATTGGGATTCCAGTTTCCAGATTTATGGGACCTCCTGTACAACTATATATATTCCTCCGAGAGAGAAGAATAAATCTTAACAATTAAACCCTAACCCTATACTTTTATCTAACCGTAGTATTAAGTGACAACTTATATTATTAACTGTGTATTATTTATATGAATTTTGATAATTAGGCTCATGAGAATTGGGATATTGGGAAGGCGCGCAGTTCAGAGGATACAAGGTAGGGAGCTTTGACCTCAAAATAAGAAAATATTTAAGGTAATTTCTGTAAGCATTTTGGAGCTTTTTGCCCGCGACAAGGTTGGTTCTAGTTCCGCACAAGGACATAGCCATTGACTCATTGTAATTTCTCTTCCACTTTCTCATAGTTACGAGAATCTTGTTTTATGAGAATGCAACACTATCTCTTAATTTGAACAGTCCATTCATATTGCCTTTTAATATTATCGTCAAGTAATATTCTTTTTCACTTGTAATCGAGAGGTTTTATATTTTAATCTCGTGAATTATGAATTCAATACTAATTTCTCCTTCCACCTGCTAATGTAATATATCTTTGAATAAGAAGAAAAAAAAATCCTTTGCATATTATAATATGTCTTATTATTAATCATTACTATATTTTAAATATAAACTCGAATCATACAAGAGGTGTGATGGTCCCAAATAAAAAAATAAATAAAAATAAAATAAAAAACATTACGATCAATCACATCATGCTCATGTAATTAAATGACTATTGGACGCACAGCCTAGCAAAACAAAACGTGAGTATAGATAAATCAATGCATGGAATGGGTTAGGACTGTGTATAACAAAGACATTATACGAGGATAACGAGGAAGAAAAATTCATAATTTCATCTACGAGGATGATGACTTTGGCAATTGTTTGAAGCAAGTGTATTCGTTAATTCATTTCTTAGTACTAGTGGCTATTGGCTGTATTAGTAACCCAGGCAACGGCGATTTGAAGCAAACCATACATGCACGCACGTTTAAGCCTTAAGCATGATTCTATTCATGTTAAAACCTTCAACTAGTAATTATAAACTGCTACATAAAATATTGCATCGTTAAAGTAGCTAGGCATGCAATATCAACCACTGATAATCCAAAATATTCTAATAAGTTGGTGCTCAGCAATGACTTTCTTGTAATAACCACTCTAACACTTTTCGATTTTACTTTTTATACAAGTAATGATATTGGGGAAGCATTAATTAATCACACTTTAGTTGTAGCAATGGCTTAATTGTAGCAATAGCTTAATCGTAGCAATGGTTTAATTATTTTTATTTTTTTTACTCCAACAGTCCTCGAATATCAATGGTTTAATTGTAGCAATGGCCCACGAACTTTCATATTAGTTTCTTTAATCCTCGAACTAAACAATGTGTTGCACCATTAGTTCTTTCACTAACACTTTTTTTTTTCTTTTTCCATTTAATGTAGGGGTATATTAATTAGGAAGTTCAACTTAAAACTTAAAAAAAACAATAAACTTAAAAGAAATGAAATTTAAACTATATAAAAACACAAAATAAAAAAAGGAAAACTAATGAAAAGGGTTTGAAAACTTTGAGTTTTAATGATAAGGACAAAATAAAGGGTAAAGTGACTAGTACCAGGATTGACTTTTTAGTGTAAAAATATGGTTTTTCGTTAAAGTGAACAATACCCGGAGCTTTTCGTTAAAGTTCCAAATAAAAATGGCTGAACTTTAGCAACTTGTAAAAGTTGGTAGGAGACCTAACTGTGATTGGACTTCAACAACTAACAAATCACATATTCTACTAAAAAAAAAAAAAAAAAAAAAAAATCCCATGTATTCTATTTCTTACACAAACAAAAAAAATCTGATTTTTTTTTAAAGTTATTTCTTTTCTCTTTCTCATTTTAAAGTATATTCTAGTGATTTGGGATGAAGTTCCTAATATACCCCTAAATTCAACAGAAAAAAGCAGTGCAACTCATTGTATAAGTTCAAGGACTAACAAACTAACACGAGATTAGTTCAGAGACTAAAAGTAAATTAAGAGTAAAGTTCATGGATCATTGCTACAATTAAGCCACAAAATAATTGTTGCAGACTTTTGCATAAACTCACAAGAAGGATGTCTGAACTATGGATTTTGCAACATATATTTGTTTCGTTTAAATCTTGATTGTTTTTCTATGTTTGATTTATTTATTTATACAACATATCAATATTTTGTATAGAGATAGATACATAGTCGTTATTGATACTCCTCACATGTCATTCTACACTCCAAATTTATAAAAATACGTACAAATAAAAGTTTGTTTAAAAAACAATATATGATCACATTTTTAGAGGTCAAATAGTAGTACCCTAAAAATAATGTTTATAATATGGTTTAAACTAATGTTAATAGGCGCTATGGTGGATTTTTTTGGCTGAACCATAAGTTATGTATCATCTATCCTGTTTTCTATGCTTCTAAATGGGCAGCTTGGGAAGAAGTTCAAGCCATTGAGGGCGCTGTAGTAGGGGGACCCCCTGTCCCCATACCTATTTTTGATTTTTAGTGAAGTTCTTTCCTGCCTTATCAAGAAGGCTATTGATCTTGGGTTCTTGGATGGTATTTAGCTTAGTGCGAATGGACCAAAGCTTACCTATTTACTTTTTGCTGAAGACACGCTTGTGTTCCTGAAAGCTACTCCTGACAATTGCCGAAATATGTCGAACTTGCTGAAAGCTTTCTGTCGGGCTTCTGGTCAGCAGGTTAGCTTACAAAAATTAACGGTCTACTTCAGCGCCAACACCCCTGTGGCAATGGCCCAAGAGCTCAATGTCAACCTGGAAATGCCGGTTGTGGAAGATCTGGGGATGTACCTGGGTGTCCCCATGGTGTGGGGAGGTTGAAGAGGGACGTGCTTGCTTACATTAAGGACCGGGGCTTGGCAAAAATTATGGAGTGGAAGCAACAATTCCTCTCCCAGCTAGGTAAAGAAATGCTTATTAAGGCTGTTGCCATGGCTATCACAACATACCCGATGAACATGTTCTGGCTGCTTGATAGACTATGCAGGGAGATTGTTGCTGCTATTGCCAAGTTCTGGTGGGGAAATACGAACAAAGAGCAGAGCATTCATTGGTTAAAGTGGGACGAAATGGGGAGCGCCAAAGGGGATGGTGGTTTGAACTTCCGCAATTTGAGAGATTTCAACTCCAACCCTTCTCGTCAAGCAATGTTGGCGGATTCTCCATAAGCCGGATTTGTTATGGGTTAAGGTGTTGAAGGATAGATATTTCCCTCAGGATTCGTTCTTGATGGCCAAAAGGGGCGGGCGTGCTTCATGGGTTTGGTCTAGCTTGTTGGAGGGACGGGATCATATCACCCGTGGGTCGAGATGACAGGTTTTGAGCGAGAATCTGATCAATCTATTGTCTGACGATTGGGTTCCTGGCATCATGAATGGCTATCCGACTCC